AATATTTCATTTGGTAATACTTTGCAAATGATTAATTAATATTAATATATTTAAATTCATAAATAATTCCAAATCGTATTAAATTATGATTATTTATATAAACTGTAGCAAATATTAATGTCTAAAAATTTTGTAATTGTAAAAGTTCAAGTTTACAATAAGAAATATGCGAATAAAATAAGTTACCATTTTTTGAGAAAATTATTAATTAATTAAATGAATGAGCGAATTTGTCAAATCATACTTTTGTTGCTATTATCAATCAAAAATAAACCTTAGAAAAATTCGAGCATTTGAAATCAACAAAACTGTTGTCTGTTTCAAATTTACAAATTGCATAAATAAATAAACAGCCTTGTCTAAAATTAGCAAATGTCCACTGCTTTGACCATAGCGACATGGAAAAATCTAGAAAAAGAAATTCTGAAATTTTAAAATTATTATATTTTAATAGATAAAAATTATGGTAATAACTTTTTATTAGTTAATTATTTAATTGCTGTTATAACTAATTAATTCATATTTCTGTTAGATGACATCTTTGTTTTGCTTCAAGTACCCCCACATCATCCATTGTTATGGAATTATGGCAACTAATTTTGCTAATTAATTATTTAATTGCTCCCATAACTAAATTATTTCAGACCTCTGTTAGATGACACCTTTGTTTTGCTCCAAATTCGCCCATATCATCCATTGTTTTCCGAGGACAGTTACTATTCGAATGTGTCAAATTACTGAAATTAAATTTAACCTTTTAAAAAAAAATTGCAATTTTCGAAGAAATTACAAAAAAAGAAGTGAAATTGAAAATAAACATTGTCAAAAAGTTAAGCAATATGAATATTTATTGGATTTCATAACATCAAAAAAATAATTTGAAAGGATTAAAAACTAAAATTTTGTAAATTTTGATTTTTTTTGGTGGAAATCTTAATTTTTTTTTTCCTGTCGGAAGAATCATTAATGAATACTAACGTTAATGACTGATTCGGATAAACAACATCGATTAAATTGAGAACTAAAAGAATTGTATCTCTTACCAATGGAATTTTAATAACCTGTAATAATGATAATTAAGTATTTGCATTAAAACTATTCAGGTAAGTTTGAGTAATAATCGGCTAACAAAGTCATATCGTTTGCAGCAGGAAAATTTCCGGTCCTTCCCAGAAAAACCATTTCTAGCTAATAATTTGAATAGTTCTGGTTGATTAATAGTGCTTATTGCTGTATTGTCACTCTTATCACTATTAACACTCTTATCACTAACAAAAAACATTATTATTTTAGCATTTATCAAACAATTAATGGAATTTGATCATTTTAATTACTGATAATTACACTGCGATTGTTAAAAAATATGGATAATTTTTGTTACAGATAATAGACTTGTTATCAATGATTTATAATAGAAAATCGTTAACTTTAGTTAGAAAATGTTAACAGGTATGATTAATATCATTCATTACAAGGATTATCATTTATTCCCCATAATTTTAGTGATAATCATTATTATAATGATTATTTCTTAACAATTTCAGTGATTATCCTTATTATAATGATTATTGTCTTAACAATTTCAGTGGTTGTCATTTATTGTAAAGATTATTGTCTTAACAATTTCAATGTTTATCCTTATTATAGTGATTATTGTCTTAATTTCAATGACTATCCTTATTATAATGATTATTGTCTTAACAATCCTTATTATAATGATTATTGTCTCAACAATTTCAATGATTATCCTTATTATAATGATTGTTGTCTCAACAATTTCAATGATTATCTTGTTATAATGATTATTGTCTTAACAATTTCAATGATTATCTTTATTATAGTGATTATTATCTTGATTTCAATGACTATCCTTATTATAATGATTATT